ACAATGAATAGTCAAATTTTTAAGAAGTAATTTCTCACCAAAGACATTCAAGCATTTAGAATTTACTGCACCAAAATTATCACAATGGGGAATCCATAGGTATCTCTTCATAGGGAAAAAAGTCCCATACCAGTTATCTCTGCAACAAACAAATGCCAAGAATGGAATTTAGAGACAGATTTGGCAGCTGTATATTTTGTAAGAGATATGTAGATGTTTTAGGACTATTAATATATCTCTTATTTGTATAATCACCTAGATAGTTTGTATTAGAGTGTTTGTTAGTGATTGACTTTGCATCTAGACTAGATATCACCAAAGTAAACCTTGAATTAAATTTTAATGTAAGCATATTTTGTTTGTAATGTTTATGGTTAATGGATTGTGCCCTTTTTGTCCAAGTTTTACTAGCCATGGATAAGTGTCTAGTTTTTGTATGCTAGGTTTCCACCAATCACCATGCTCTCTAACTACAACGCTACCACTTCCCTAAGTTTGATGGTAAAAATTGTAAGCCTCATGGTCAACCTGAAAATATTTCAAAGGTTTTGACGATCAAAGCAGCTCAAACCCTCCCTATATGTGATACATCTTCAGAAATGCTGGGAATGTTTGATATCTTGTTTTCAGTATTGAACATGGTTGACATTTTTCTGCACCACTGCTGTGCTGGTTTATAGATATGCATGGTTGTTATCTTCAGAAGTTTTTGCTAGATTTTGAAGTTTAAAATGAATTTTGTTTATTTTTATTGAGGTTCTTGTACCAAGGCTGAGCTATTTTCCACTGGTTGTTGACAAGATGTGTAGACATTTCCAAATTGCTGCAAATCAGAATGATTCTGATGAAATGTGGATGGAATACCAAGGACAACCTCTTAAATGGTATGTCTTCCATTTTAAGACCCTTCTAATTAGCATCATTTTTACATGTGATTGATAAAAGTACCAGGTAAGGGAGCTCTCTTCAAAATATAGATTATTTCTAACTTATCCAATAGTATTTGAAACATTACTACAGTTTTCATTGCCTTTCATGTTTGCATGCGAGTTTCTTTCTTGCCACTCTTTCTCGACTTCTTCTTTTGTTTTTCGGTTTTGTCAAAGTATTTCAATATTTTGAGGAGTGAAGTTATTGTGGAAACAGTCCTGCTAAGAAAATATTGTAAATGACAAAGATGTCAAGATTTAGCAGGATTTAAGTAGCACTCCGTTTTTGTATAAATTTGTTTCCTAAGCGTACCCCATTTTCCTTGATACTGCAGAAAGATGATTTATTGCATATAGCATATCATTGGTGACATTCTTGTATACTTGTTTGCTCTATTTGTTACCAAATTAGTGATGTGTCTCTTAAAAATGTGGGGACAGTTTATTTCCAAAGTAAGCTATTGGTACTGCAAGATTTGAAGATAACACAATATAGCTGAAACATATCATGCAAAGTACTTTTGGCCTGACACTCCCCAGATGAAAACTTTGGATAATGTCACAAAGATAGGCAGAAACATGTATCCAGATGTGGACCAGAAGTGAGAGGAAGAAACACATTTTTTTAGTTTAATTGGTTGGCCTGTATTATGGTTAAGAAGCAATGAATTTTGTGTCGCCTTCTTGATCTTAGGTTTTTAATAGGTATGTACTGGTATTTGCTTGCTGCTTGCATTTTACAAAATATACTACTCTCTGCTTCTTTAGAAAAAAAACATTTAGGGTTTATAACCTTTTTGCACTGTTGGCTGGGGTTATCTGCAGGGCTTTATGTTTGGGTGCATACATTGTTTATCTCTACGGTTGAATGTAGGGAGGCCATGAATTGCTAATCTGAGCATTGGTTGTAAGGGATCAATTACTTGCTCTATTGCTCAGGGTTTTCTAGGCCCTTCATACTGACTCATAAACTCTATGTAATTCTAATAAATGATGGCGTTTATTGAATTTGTAACCAAATATTAAGCAAATCATTTTTATCAATTAATGTCTAGATTATTAAGCTACTCTTGTTAAAGTGATATTCATAATATTCTTGTATTTTCTGTAAATTTGTCATATAAAACCACAAAACGGTTATTAGTTGAGGCATTAATTGGAAGGATGTGTTCATTTAAAAAAGGCAATAATATGAAGCAAGTGTTTTATTAGTGGAAATATGGTTTGCTATCTTTGACTCTTAAATCATGATAATCACAGGATATTTCATCAGTTAGTCAGGTCAGGTCTGGTGAGGTTTTCTTTAATGAGAAAAGTTGTTTCTCATCAAGTGAAGTCAGGTCAGGTCAGGGTCAGGTCAGAACAAGACAGGTCAGAACAAGTTTGATCAGGTCAAATTATGTCAGGCCAGATCAGGTCAGGCCAGATCAGGTCAGGTCAGGTAAGGTCAAGTTAGGTCAGGTCAGGTCAGGTCAGGTCAGGTCAGGTCAGGTCAGGTCAGGTCAGGTCAGGTCAGGTCAGGTATGTTTGTTTTGTAAGCACAGTTAGGAAAGTTCTTTCATACTTTCTATTTTTTGTTACAGGCATTATCCAATTGGCGTCTTGTTTGATTTATATGCTTCAAGTGATACATTGCCTTGGAATATTACTGTTCATTTTAAGGTATGCTGAAGCTCTTACCCTATTCTATTAGTTAGGCGCTCCAGCAAAGCTAGGGAATATGAATAGATAAAATATCAAGAAATTGGCTGCTAGTGTCAAATTTAATTTCTTCATATTTTATAGGTCTTGCACTCTTTAAAATTAAGGGCTATAGCCTTTGTCATAGAGATAGACCAAAACTATAAGAAAGTTTTTTAAGATTTGGTTTTAAAGGGTTCCTAGAAAAGTTTCTTTTTAAAAACATTGCAAGTCTAATGAGTACAACTAGCTTTTGTTAAAATTGTATAGTGCCAACTAGGGTAGAATGAAAGCCCAATTTGAAGGGTATTAAAACCATATCTAGGGTTTTAGACCTGCACTATGAATTTGTTTACTTTTTCTATATTTTCATCTGTTTTCATCGTCATTTCTGAAAAGAAACTCGTTTGTAAACAGAAGAATAAAAACATAAGGACAAAGAGCAAAAATATCTAAATTAATATATTGAGCTCAATTTGGATCTATAGAACATTATTCTTTTATACTGGAAGAACGTTGGCATCTGTATAAGCCAAACATAAGACCAAGGATCATTGTCAATAGGTTAATTTTTTATTTCAAAAATGCAGCTAAAATATCCTTTAAGAAATGTCTAATTTTAATGGGATTCACCAAGCAATTTGAACTGAAGAAATATGAAAATCTTGAAGAGTATTCTAAGTAGAGGATATCAGTCAGAAATGAATAAGCCAATAGCTTTGAGGATGAATCAACTTATGTTCATGAAAATACAATCCTTTTCTTTTTATAAAAATATTGCAGAGGTTTCCTGAAACAGAACTTATCAGATGTCAAACTAAAGAAGTTGTCGAATCTCATTTCATGTCTTGTTTGAAAGAGGTAACCGCCATTATTACATTTTTTCTAAGTTTATTTTACGGAATTAGTTCAATTTGTCCAATAAGCATGAAATGAAATCCATGTTTTGAATATTGGTTTATTTTGAAATTGATTAAAGTAGTTGCTGCTGAATGCTATTATATCCTTTCTTTTATTGTGCAAGTTAGATGCTTTTGCATGTTAGTTTATATTTGCAGGCAGATAACCTGAAGCATAGATCACAAATAATGAATGCAATGCAGAAAAGAGATCACAAACAGCTCTGGTCAGGATTGAGTAGTGGTAAGTAAAAGGGTTGAGTAGTGGTAAGTAAAAGGGTTGAGTAGTGGTAAGTAAAAGGGTTGAGTAGTGGTAAGTAAAATAATGAAAAATATCTTCATTTCCTTCTAGACACAATTCTAGCATTGCTGAGAGATGCCACTTCAATCTTAAGTATTAAATGCTGTAAATTTTATTGACAATATTTTTTGTAATTATTTCTTCTTTCACATAATAGATTATTTACTAATGATTTAAAAAAGGTAGCATTATGCAGAATATAAATTGATGTTGAAGTCGAAAAAACACAAAAATCCAATTGAAAGCAATAATGTTAAATTTATTCAGTTTTGAATTCTCCCAAGCTAAAAGTGGCCTACCATATCAGCATGCCTTTCGTGAAAATTAATCGTCAGCGATAATAATGGCGGGAAAATGCGTATTATGTTAGCCTAGAGACTTACGATCTAAGAGAAGTGAAAAGCTTGACAAATAAGGAATGGCTTCTACCGTATTTACTGGTACTGCTTTTCTTTTTGCAGTTTTTAGAGCTATGATAATTCAAGAGTGTAAGGATATTGAAAATGGAAGCATGTTACTGAGTTTTGCCTGATTTTTTGACCTTTTAGTTTGGTTTTAAAATCTTTACGTTGAAGAGGAAAATAGCGTATTTGTATGCAAACAAACTGCAATGTTCTTTTGCTATTCTAAAGCTTGCACTGGCAATATCCAGAGGATTTTTTCGTAGTACTTTTTTGCTTTTCCATAATAATTGAAACATAACAATTTCACTTGTATAGAAATTCATAGAAACGGCCCTCGAAAGAAAACCGTATACATACAGCAATTAAACTATCATCCTAGTGCCTTCTTTCACATGCTTTGTCTTGTTGTTCCATTTTAGACAAATTTGATCAGTTTTGGTCAGTCAATAAGCGCCTTATGGAGCGTCTCAATGGAGAAACATTTAAATATATCCCATTCAAAGTTTATCTGGTTTGTCTAAACTTTTTATTCTTATTTCTTATTCAGGGGATAATTTGCCTTTTTGCACTTCCTGTAATATTAATTTCATACATTATATATTCATGCATTAACTTGGTACATTCATGCAGCTCTCAAAGTCTTAAGTGGGCTAGCCTTTTTTTGTACTGTTGAGCTTCAAAATGTTAATTTATACTGTGATATGCAAATATTATATTCATTTATGCAATAATATGGTTCGTTGTTTGGTAAAAATTGCTTTGGGAAATGTTTTCAAGTTTCTTTTATTATCTTTTAGTTTCTTTCATTTACTCCGTTTTAAAGTGACTGATAAAGAAGAGTGAATAATATATATTGAAGATGATTCGTAATGTTGCACTACGTTCATATAGAACATTCATATATTTAGAATAGTTGAACCGCACAGTTTGATCTTTGATCCAACCACCTCTAAGAAATTAGAGAGATATTTCAGTTACTGATTACGTGACGATGTCCGGTATTTTCTCAAAGATTCATGATGTTTTGAATTTCTTTAAGTCGGATCGACCGTACATTCAATTGCTGTTTCGACCCTTGTCTGATAAAGGTATGCTTCTCAAACAAATGTTTTTTTGTAATTATATTTGAATCATTTAATATCCTATCCTCATTCCTATTCTCATTCAGAAGGTTCCAAATCTGACATGGTTTCATGAGACCATAGCCTGCCTCTTTTTGAATAACCCGCACTTTTTGAATTAGCGGGATATATCAGTCACGCGATTCTCTCTTCTAAACATCGCAAAACAGGCAACTGCTAAAAAGCAAGAATATTGGAGCTGAGGCTTGGCAACTTTTTTAAGATATTCGTTAAAACTGGTTAATTCTGAGTCTGAATATTGTTATAAAAGAGTGTTTGCTTTGGACACGTATTTTGGTTGGTGAAATGTATTCAAAGTATTGCCTACAATAGAACTCGATGCGGAATTTTCGTGCGATTAGCCTGCGCGATTTTAGATAGAATCGGAAAAACAACTGCAAAATTGTTGACTTGGAAGGGAGTTATACTGGTATATCTGCAAAAACATTGGCTAGAATTGACAATTAATTATGATTGGTAAAGTGGGACTGTTTGAAATAATATTTTTGAATGACTGGCTAAGCGACAAGTCTGAACCGAAATGGTCCAGTTCACTTGGATATCGAACAAATTGTTTGTTTTAGGTCTTTCTGTCTTCGAGTACGGTATTTATAAGTTTTGATTTGTTTTTGTTGAATGAAGAACATTGCCACGTAAATTACAGTATTTTTAAGTGACCAAAATTTGCCATGTTTCGAGCATTTTTTTACCGAATCAGCAGCTTGCCGGTTTTTCAACTGTTGAGAAAATAGAATTTTCGTAATTGGTGTTACTACTTTTTCTCTGTACTTCGTCACTTCGTCAGTATTACCAATGATTTTTGTTCATAACTCAAGTATAGAATTAAAGGCCCATTTTATATCACCTGCCTGCAAATATATTTTATAATTCTACTTCAAAATTTGAAAAGATAGAATAATTTCCGTTTTTTAGGTGAAATTTTGACATTACGAGACTTGATGAGAATTGTCACAACGAAAGTCATGGATAAAAACTTCACAGGGAATCAATGGAGAATTGTTTTACAAGGCATTGAGCCTCCTTTGGAAACTCCTGTGCAGTGGCTAAGTGAACATCTTAGCCACCCAGACAACTTTCTTCATATCTGTATGGTTGAAAATTAAGTATCAGTAAAAATATATTAAAGGGGCCTCAACAATATTTGGTATGCTAGAATTCGCGAGAACCTCTTAACTTCTTTGTTTGATGCCTTAAAATGAGAATTTCTATCGACGATTTTTTAATTTGGGTTGCACCTTGAAGTTTACCTTTGGTTATTTGTTTTCGAATGATTTGACTTTAGTGAAATTTCTTAAAATGCCTACAGGCCTGGGTGGAATAGGTGTAAGGTTTGATAGCATGCAAGCATATGTACAAATTGCGGTTGTTTAATTGAGTAAACTACGCCTTTCGAAAAGGATGTAAAATTTGAAGGTAAAGTTGTGCTGTTTTAAAGTATGGTGGCCTTGGTTGTGTTAAAAACAGCATCGTTAACAGGTGTGGAAAAAGTGACTTGGCAGTTTAAAGTTTCTCATTTCAAGGCAAATGTGAATATGCTGTTGTTATTCGATTATCCGTTCACTTGATTACGCCTCCCACTTGAGTTATTTCATTTCTCACGAAAGCTCCCATCTCCGAAGCTCCTCTCTCACGAAAGCTCCCATCTCAGAAGCTTCCCTCTCACGAAAGCTCCGCTCTCACGAAAGCTCCTCTCTCACGAGAGTTCCTCTCTCACGAAAGCTCCCATCTCCGAAGCTCCTCTCTCACGAAAGCTCCCATTTCCGAAGCTCCTCTCTCACGAAAGCTCCTCTCTAACGAAAGCTCCCATTTCCAAAGCTCCTCTCTCACGAAAGCTCCCATCTCCGAAGCTCCTCTCTCACGAAAGCTCCCATCTCCGAAGCTCCTCTCTCACGAAAGCTCCCATCTCCGAAGCTTCCCTCTCACGAAAGCTCGCGTTTTCCTTCGAATAAATTATCTCTTGCAAGGACCGTTGCTAGCTATTGTGCTCAAGGAGGTTATCCGGATCCCATTTACTGACAAGTGGGTATGCCGTCCTTCATATTCCAACGAGTTTGAAATTTTCCGACGAAGACCCCACTATCTGACAGATGCTCCTCCTTTTTCAAAAAATATTGTTTTCAAGGTTGGTGTGACACCCCCAAAGCGCCCATTGCGACGACTCTGCTGCAACAGGAATTATTGATTTTTTTAGGCTTATGAATATAAATACCTCGTTTTGGTCCTCTTTCCTAGTAGAACAAACGTGGTTATCATTTCTGGGTTGTTTTTTAACATCTGTTATTCGTACTATGTAATTTTTATCTCAACAAATTGTGAAATTTGATTCATTTTTCTCTGTTAGTGATCCTATAGAGTTGAATCAGTGAAAGACATGCATCATGTCTTTACTTCTATCTATTTACAAAACTTATTGCTTTATACGCTATTTAAATCATATTGCTATATACGTAGCCTATAAAATATTAATCATTTCGATAATTTTTTATTCGATTCCGTTCCTTCTTTTTAAATCAAATTGATGTTTGGCACCCTAAGTTGCAGAAACGAATTTAACTATAAGATTCATCGGTTCATAACTGCTGCTTGTTATGAATGCATATGTTCAATGTACACGAAGGTAAACGAATCCATATATTGCGAATATTTAACGTGCAAGGATATATATGTAGTGTCCAACCCATAAAATAGTTTTTAAGCTTAGACTTTCGACGATCAAAATAATCTAAACTACTTTTTTTTATCAAGGTTAGCCAGTCCGCCCCTGCATAGAACTTAATGATTTACAAGAAATCTCGCTCGTACATGACTTTTTTCACTTTCCTAAAAACAATGTAGAGAAATAGGTCTATAATTGGATGTTATTAGTGGACAACATTTTTTGAAAAGAGCAATTACTTTCGCCAACTTCAACTTATCAGCGAAACAGGATGCTTGCTTTGTTTTGTTTCAGGAAAATTTTTCATGTGATACCAAAAATTTTTGGTTTCCAGGAATATCTTGTACCTTTCAGTTACTAGATTTTATTTATATTAGCAGGATCAATTTATCTTCATCGATTCCCAATTATTGTTTTCCTTTTCTGAAACAAAACAAAACAAGCATCCTGTTTCGCTGACAAGTTGAAGTTCGCCAAAGTAATTGCCCTTTTCAAAAAATGTTGGCCACTAATAACATCCAATTATAGACCTATTCCTCTACATTGTTCTTAGGAAAATGAAAAAAGTCATGTACGAGCGAGATTTCTTGTAAATCATTAAGTTCTATGCAGGGGCGGACTGGCTAATCTTTTTGGCCCGGGAAAATTTTGATCAAACCGGCCCACAAAAATAGCAAATAAAAAACTCCTCGGAAAATACAAGTAAATGTTAGTCTGTAAGGAAAACAAGTTTTTAAATTCAGTAATTTTGTGCATGGATGATTGCTGGTTAACAGAATAAGGTTAACAGAACATGTTAAATATGTTATTTGCTGACTAAATAGTAAATAAACAAAAAATTTAACTCATTGGTTTGACTTTCTTTCTAAATACAGTAACTTATATGTTGATAATGTGATCGTTCTAGATGTCATCTAACAGGTGTTTTTCTAAGAACATTAACATAAAGGACTCCAGGTTTGGCTGCGAAAAATTACCACGTAATCTGTTCTTTATATATTTAAAGTGGAAAAGCTTCTATCACACTCGACTTGTGACAAATAATTTTCGAATCCTCCGGAAAACCACAATGATTTTCAGCAGCCCAATAATATCGATTTGTCAATTTCTGACCCCAAAAAGAAAACATGGGCACCCTTGTTGAAATTTTATCGTGTAGCACCCTGTTGGGCAGGGGATGCATTTGAATTATGATAGTATAGGCCTAATAAATTTACCATAACTTGTATGAGTTTATTGAAAGGAGCAAGAGCAAGACCCTGCTGTTTTTTGTGACGTTTGTGGCTTTTGCTTGATAAAAGAAGCTTTGTATCGTAGCTGAATCCTTTTTTAAGTCTCGCAGCTTTTCCTCACGAAATTTCTGTTCACCACCTTTGGTTGAAGTCTTGCTCTTCCCTTGTTCTACGTATGTCCTCTTCATTGCTTCAAATCACAGAGCAAATCCCTTAGTGAACTCTATATTTTGGACTTTTAAATTTATTACATTTAGCAATAGCTTGTGCTTAGGGAAAAACATGACCAGCTTCAGGCAAAAGCTAAGTAAAAAGACATCGGGGCAGGTTAAAATCTTAATCCCCGGTAAAACGACTGGACATTTTCACTGAACATGCACTGGACAAATGTCCAGCGTAAATGTTGCGTCGTTTTGCCACCTTGTCCAGTCTTGTTTAGCGATGTTGAATGTTGTTCAGTCGATTTTGAAGGCAGCCAAAAATGTTCAGTGGACAGGATTAAATTTCTTTTGTTCACTGATGTTGTACAGAAATTGTTCAGTCGTTTTGCCACTCTACTGAACATTGTCCAGTTCGCGCACGCGCAATCGATTAATGGTTTGGATTTGGCGTCAATTTATTTCCCATATTCAAATCTTCAACAAACTATCCTAGTCAACACCGCGAACGAAATGGAAACAACGTGAAAATTCAATTCGACCAATAGCAGAAAAGGCATTTTATTAGTAACGACGAGTCTTCTGATCAGATTAGCTTTAGTTCCGATAAGGAAAGCGATGTCAGAGAGCACGAAGACGGCGATTTTGATGAACCTAGCAGTCCTAGCCACTTTTCAATAATACACTCTAATTCATACGATAACACGGTTAGGGTTATAAAAAGTGTATTTTCAAAGGTAAAGAGATGCCCTGTTGCCAGTTTTCCCACCCGCATTCTTCAACAGGGAAAAAGTTCACTGGACAATGTTCAGTCGTTTTGCCATAGCCAATATTTTCTTGATGTCCATACTCTGAAATATGAGCAATGTCTAGTGTGTGACCAGTGCAACTGCTCAGTGGTTTTGCCGGGGCTTTATGTATCGCATTGAAACAGAGATGTTACAGTATAATATGTCGCCAAGAAGGAAATACCGTCAAGAGAAAATATAACAAAATGTCAATAACATGTTCCCTGAAGAAGTGTGTTTGGGACGCTGTGACAAGCTCTTTTTCTGCCAGATTACACTAGTAGAAACAAGCACAATTTGGAAACAGAACCAAGAGTTGCGTATTTTAGCGAAACTTAAGAAGAACGGAGCCTTTCCCAAACTAGCATGGAACCAAATGCCTTGTGTAAACGCAAGGCCTTGTGTAAACGCAGGCACGGAACCTAGGAGCTCCATTCGTTGTCTGTAAAAACGTCATCCGCTTCATTACATGAAGGATATCATATTTGGGAACGTTAAAGAATGAATGGCTTTTTCAAAAAGTTGAAAAATTTGGATTGATTCGTTTAAAACCGGTCCTGGCTAGGTTTGATTAGCCTCAATATATATAAAAATCAGGGGCTCATTTCTGCGTCTTCCGAGCTACTACAATACATAATACTATAGTATCACCTGTAAATGCAAAATATGGCATAATCGGGCAATGTGGAAGTTCTTTTGTAGCAGTCTGCAAGTCACGACATTGCAATTTATTACATAATAACTTCTCGACAGAAGCCAGAAATAGTTTAGTTATATTTTGTAATTTGTTTGGGTGGAGTCTTGTAGACTGAGTTTACAAAAAGCATACAAATCGTGTTTTCTTGAACTGTTTCTGGTGAAACCAAGGGGCGGGAGATGCATTTCTACCATCAGACCCTTCATTATTCAATCACGTGGTTTTGAATGAAATTCTCAGAAAGCACGACTTTGTGCAAACAGTTAAGCTAGTTGAAAGGAATGATATTAATGGTTTACTCTTGTCAAAACATGTTGTCAGCAACGTCTAGTGCAAAATTCTGGACGCAAATTTACAGCCCTTCAGTTCCGACCCTGAACTCCTTACCCACAAAGCTTCAACAGAACGCAAAATCTTTATGGTCCGGTGTCCCGGTAAACTCTTTACATGGTATCATGAAAAAGAAATGGAAAGTTTAAAAAAGTACCTGAATCATCGTAGAAATAGAACCTCTAACGATCTTCATCTTCACAGCCACCATCCATTAAAACAAGCGAATTGCCTACTGGTGGATTGAAATGTCCCATGTATGGATGCACACATTGGGTTGCTCCATGCTTTAGAAGTGAGTTGCCAGAGGGTTTGTATATTGTCTGTGTTTAAGCACAATCGACAGTCAATCGTATGTGAGAAGCTGAGAAAATTACACATTTATCAGTTTGAACATGCCTCAGACGGAAATCATTTATGTACTCGAAACGATCGCAGGCAAGTGGATTGTTTAGTTCGATCAAATTTTCACTCGCACTGTAGACCCTACATAGTCCACCAAAATGCCGGATGTCATAGTGAGCATTCCTTCTGAAGAAGTATCTACTGGTGTTTTCGTTACAGCCTGTTTTTAGAATAACTGTTTTCGTTACGACAGGATCAACGACTCCGCTTTCTGGATGTAGGCATTTGCTTGACAACAGGTGTCTATAGTCTATAGCAATGTCTTTATGTTGTTTGTAAAGGAATAACCACAACTAAAAGGTTCTCTATTGGGGAGACGAACATGGGTAACGCAACCCTTCTATCCTGGAGGCAAACAGCCTGCGCATAGAACGAGGCCATTATTATGCATCCTTTTTCTCTCCAGGAGGAGGGGTTGTTTCATTCATTTGAAGATCTTCGCTCGCTCATCTCCCAGAGATTCATTGCAACAGTCTTCAATTATATCATAGTTAGCTTGTGGATTGATGCATTAATCGCTTTAGTTATTCATTTATTTATCAGAAGATTCTATTTCATTCTGTATGAATCTAAATATGTTTTTGGTACCGCAAAATTTGAAGATGGCAGAAAATAGCGGAAACATGGCAAACTTCAGAACTTTAAAGTAATTTTTAGATATTATAACTCTGTCTGATGAGTGCACAAATATATAGTTCCATGTAACGTGCAGACATGCTTCTATTGTATCAAATTCAGTGCACTCCTGCACTGCCATGTCAGAACAGAGAACTCATACTTGGATATATACAAATATATGTACATACGTAAATAGTAATTGCTTTAAGGTTTTGGCAGAAGGAATCCAATCAGTTAGAATATCCAATTAGTTAGAATTTTAGCTCTTGAAGTTTATAAAACACATAATTCCATTTTCACAAAAGAGTATTTGTTGATAGGAATTCTCTTTTACTCATACATAACCATCCGTCTAATTGAAAGCAAAGAGTCAAAGTGAAAGGTCCTTACAGCTCTATGGAATCAATTCTTGGACTTGTATTTTTCAATATTTTCCTAAACGATCGACAGAGAATAAAAGATAATTATAAGCATTTACTCTAAAGAACGCCGAGGCCTTTATTACAAATTCCAAATTTTGGATGCGGCGTTCAATAGAGGGCAGCTGTTATCAGAGAGCAGCGTTAAATACAAAATGAAAAGTTTTTCAAATGAAAAATGAGATGATAAAAGATAAAAGCAGACTTTTAACAATGCTTTTTTCCCCAAAATACGTAATAAAGATTGTGTGAACAATTTTTGAAAGTTCAGAAAAGATGTCTTCACGTTATGGAAATGTCAAGGAATTTCAATACACTTGCCTCTGTCAGTATGGAGTCACATAGCCTGCGTGCAGACTCTATGGAGGAGAAGAAATCTAGAGGATGAGGAAACCTTATGATTATTGATATGACAGGACGGTCTACGAATCACAACGATACAATACCAATCATATTATGATTCGTAGACCGTGGGACGATCGATACAATACATTAAATACAATACAATAACACAATACGATGCAATAAAATACAATACAATACAATACAATGAAATACAATACAATACAATTCAATGTGTAGACAGAAGGAGCTCGTATTCAAACACAGCTTAAATAGAAAAATTTTCAACAGGTAAACTACACTGAGTGGCCAACTTCAACAGTTTTGTGCTTGCGTTTCTGACTGGCCTATTTCGACCCACAAGTGGGTATATATATTTCCTTGCGTAGAGCAATTGGACAAAAAACCTCTTTTGGTGTACTCTAATGTTAGTTTTTCTACATGGAGTTCCTTCCTATTCCTTGTGTTGTATTTTGTATGGCAGACCTTTTGAGGAACTATATTTCAGCCATTCAGGACAGAGCTGATTGACTATTTTATAAGTCATAACTACTGGGTCAAATGTCATCAATTGATTTATGTTAATGAGTTCATGATTCATCATTTACCTTTAAAGATTCTGTTTTATCAATGCTTTGTTCTGATATTTTTGCTGAGTGCTTAGTTTGGTATCAGATAGGGCTCCCCATACCACCTTACTGTACCTTGAGTGGTTTTCAACAAGTGCTTGAGATGAGAGTGAGGTAAGAAAACAAAAAGGAAGAGTCGTTAGCTTTACACCATCAATCGACAAATTCTAAATCAAATCACTTTACAATATAAAAATGATTTTCAGATCTAAATTACAGCTTAATTTTGGGACTATTATGTTCTGCGTTTCAGAATACAAATTTTCTCAGTGATCCTGACATCTAGAAATTTTCTCAGAATTCGCCAATTAAATATCATCTTGTCGAACCCGCTTATAACATCCAGTGTACGATGTGTGTTAGAAAATGAAGAGCAAGGCATTTCGCGTAGAAGATAATTGAAGTTCTGGAGTTTAGAAGAAGATTCTTCGAGGTTTTCTTCTTTTGAATATCTGGAAAAAACAAAAAGAATTAACCCAAAGGCAAGTGTAGAATTTTCTGGCTGAACCTATCATTTAAAACTGACGAAAGGTAAGATAAAAAAGACAAAAATATCATAGCAAAATGAAGATCTACTCCTGCAAAAGAAAAACATATCAGTCGAAGACTTATTCTGAAATTAGAAAGATATTTGAATGAGGATAAATATATTGCGTAATTCCTAAAAAACTGCAACATATCATTTTACAGAAATTTTTGTCTCACACTCTTCAGAATATAAATGTTGGATAAATATTAATATATAAAAGTAATTTTTAGCATAAAAATAAAAGCCAGTCTTCGCGGCATGTTTTGTTTCTCAAACAAAACAGAGCTTTCAGTGATAATGTGCCTCAGAAAATAATGCAACTCGATGGGGATAGTGAACGGAACGAATTCAACGGATCTTTGTTGAAAGATAACCGCTTTAATGGGACATAGGGCCAGAGTCTCCTTTGCTACAAAAGGGCATAACACCGAGCAGCATGAATTATAAGTCTATTTTTAAACTGACTCATTTCCTTCTTTTCTTGGTCGATTGTCTAAGATTGATTGTAGGACTGATTTCATATTTGTCTGATTTCAAGAAGGGTGGTAAAAATGATCGCCACACCGACAATTTTGACATCAGTGCCCAGGCTCCTAACTCTTTAACAAATATCATCACTTTAACGGAGTTTCAAAATACTAGCCTTATGTTTTCTGACTGCTAGAATTTAAAGTATCATTTCGAATATAAATGGTTCTGCCATTAGCAAAATATGCTGCTTTTGTGATAGAGTTGTTAAGACTAGCATATGACCGTCATAGTCCGCCATTTGCCAAGTCTAAGGACGCTGTTACAACTCTATCTACCGCGAAGCTATTTGGGAATGGCATAATTTTCGGTCTGGCACATACAATTAAACCTGAACATCTGACAGGGTAAAATGATCCTGATGCGATCCAGAAGTTAGAAGTTAGATTTCAGAAGTCACACACCTCCAGAATGAATTTTGTTCCCCAAAACGGGTGACGCCAGTCTGAGCTGCATAATTGTCAATGTGTACTGATGCATTACCTAAAAGAAATAGTTTAATGGGTGAAGGGGAGCCCCTAAAAAATCACCTCGTACTCTAGCTTCATTATATCACATGAAAAGTAATTGAAGAGAGATTAACCTGCGATGTGATGAGATAATAAGGGATTAGCTAATTTCAGGTCATTCAGCTCATGAAGCAGATATAATTGAATTCAGACAAACCCTCCTGGGTATCTCGCCTACTATATATTTACCCCCCCCCCCTGGTGTTTCGCCTGGCATCATTTTTGACACAGACTTTGAGATAATTGTGAATGGCCACAGGGTTGTTATGAAGATTCATGCCCCCTGTGGCTTCGTTATAGTACTGTAGTTGTAGTGGTGTTTTATAACCTTCTATAAGCATAAAAAAGAATTTCTTAACAAAAGCACTGTTTAATTACTTAAGTGACATTAATCAGAGACATTTCGTGTCTGCAAGACACCTTCAGGTAGAAATGAAAAATGAGCAAAATAAAAAACTGCTTTTTATCGGTGTTTGAAATGGCAAAAAGGTGAACAGAAAGGTCTATTTAGGTACAGAGGAAAAAACGCGAATGAAAGAATGACGCACGTGATTGGCCCCCTTTTTAAACCAATCAGCCACCGTTAACACTTTTTCAAACCAGGATTTTTTTCAACACGTTTAAAAACGTCTAAATGACAAAACGAACTTGCTTGCCAAATGATTCAAATAACAAACAAAATTGTTCACAGTTGTTGGGTGGCTTTTATGTTGTACGCAACAGGTTATATAATCAGCAAAATGTGCATTCAGTTAACCTACCACTAACTGCCTTTTCAATTACATGTAGTCTTGCGAATGCAACACCACCCGGGTAATTATAATGTGAAATGTAAGACAAGACTGAAGCTACAAGCACATTGCCAACGAGTAGGCCTACTGTACCAAGATGAAGTAGCTTTGTAAGCAGGCCATTTTGACGAAACCAGTGAAAGCTGGAAAAGCAAAAGATGCGATTTCAATCGAAGTTAAAAGTGTTGCATTGACACAGGACATCTTGAAACAGATTTAGTGGTGGGTTTTTGAAGAGAATGTGCTGTCCATTAAAAAAAGAATTGAAAATAAGTTCAAGATAATAATATCGAAAGAAATAGAATTATTCTGCCTATAAATTCTCTCCTAAAAATTTCTAAATCATCTCTTTCATTCCTCAAACCATTTTGTGGTACTTCTTCCATCCTTCATCAACCCTCCATCACTCCTCCTCCTCCTCTTCCATCAAAAGCATTATTCATTTTAGATTCACTAGTGCATTGCGCAATATTGATATTATCAATTATTCCAGTTGAGACAATTATATGGAACCATAATCTATGGGCTATGTACAAAAAATCTTGAAACCAACAATTACATGGAACCATAATCTATGGGCTATGTACAAAAAATCTTGAAACCAACAATTACATGGAACCATAATCTATGGGCTATGTACAAAAAATCTTGAAACCAACAATTACATGGAACCATAATCTATGGGCTATGTACAAAAAATCTTGAAACCAACAATTACATGGAACCATAATCTATGGGCTATGTACAAAAAATCTTGAAACCAACAATTACATGGAACCATAATCTATGGGCTATGTACAAAAAATCTTGAAACCAACAATTACATGGAACCATAATCTATAGGCTATGTACAAAAAATCTTGAAACCAACAATTACATGGAACCATAATCTATGGGCTATGTACAAAAAATCTTGAAACCAACAATTACATGGAACCATAATCTATGGGCTATGTACAAAAAATCTTGAAACCAACAATTACATGGAACCATAATCTATGGGCTATGTACAAAAAATCTTGAAACCAAGAATTACCGCGAATGAGTAATTGCTTCTAGGACATTAACAGTTGGTAACAATTTTAATACTTACATTTCCATAACACCAACTGCAGCTGCAGTGTTTAGTACAGGTATGCAATATATAATAAAGCGAAGCTCTTTGTGTGGAAGGATGGAATACGCAAGAACAAACACGAGAGTTGAGAATAGAAGCCCTCTGAAATTGTCGTCTTTGCATCTAAAGCCGATTGGTACTAATGGGAGTGCAAAAAGTAGGCATCTTGGAATGGCAGAGTAGAAATACCACAAGAACGGTGATGTCTGCAAATGAGGCTAAGGAAATGCAATCTAGCAAAGTTTTCAGCATGTATTTATCATAATAAATTATGAAGCAAATTCCATAAAGAGTTAAATCATTGACAAGATAGAGACTTGAGTTTTGGCAACAGCACAACTGCTACAAAAATTCAATTTCAAAAAAGGACATAATCATATAAAATACAAGAATGTAACGATGAATGATTCCGACTATCTGAAAGGGCTGCTACTTTATAAGTGAGCCCGGTCTGAGTGTAAAGCACAAAATCATATTTCTCTTTTGATATAGTTTATATGTGAAAACCTCAGGCCTTGGTGTCATTATTCCCTATTCATCCAGAATTGAGATTTCGCCTCGACTTGAGTTATGCATGGCAGATTCGTCACCCAGGACGATTTTAGAAATTCGATTTCAATTAAGGAATTAAGAAAGTGGGCGATAGAAGGCAATTAGTAAATGCTCTCGCCAAAAATGGGGTATCAGTTGACTCTAAATCTTTCCTCTTGAAAAATTATGTCTTACAACGAGAAAACGGCCTAACTACAAACGATAAAAAACGATCACAATACATAATTGCATGTTTTAGTAAATTAATAAGACTTTAAAATTTGTAATTTTTTACCTAAAATTGTGGAACATATCACGCTGAAAAGGATACACCCCAATGAGAACTTTTGTTAAGAACTGTGTTGTAGTACAAAACAATTCCTTCTGGCCAGAGCAATTTCTGCCAGAACAGAGAATCAATGGAAATTGTAACAGCTAAAAATAAAAAAAAATTGATTACGAATGTATATTAACGAATATATTGCCAAACATATGGGACAAGTTGGCATTTGATGAAGCTGGAGATTTTAAATTGTCATGCAATCTCGGTTATAACAGCAACTGGGTTAAAAAGATAACTAAGCCTTGATAGGGAAATCAGCGAATTTTGTAGATTCTAGGCTAGGCCCTTTAAAAAAGCTAATTGAAGTGATTATGTTTACAAAAGCAATAAAAATTTGATGCAAAGTTTTCTATTCGAAGGCAGACATGCAAAGGACCAAAAATCTCACCTAGCGCTAGAAGACCAGAAATTACTGCATGTTTTATAGCCAATAACAAGCCAACCTTTCTTCGAAAAAGGCTGACCAGTAGGAGAGGTCCAGCCAAAAGACAAATCTCTGACCTGAAAATTATTGCCGAAAATGCAGATAGCCAAATAAATCTTTGTATCCGGTTTTCAAGCCAGAAACCGAGAGCTGGAAGAACTGAGAAAGAGAAGAGAAAAGTCAAATTGACTTTAATGATACATAAGCAAATTACGGAACATAAGCAGTGAAAAAAAATCCAAAAAATCTATATGTTGCCTAAAAAGGGCATCGGATGACAACCAAGTAACAGGCTTTCCATTTGCCTTTTATAAGACAGGGCAGTGGCATGCTCCGACAGGACATGAATGGGAAATTAAAGTGCTAGCTTACAGGTCCTGCCTGACCCGACTGGTACCATCTGGCAGGGTTCCCTAGTTCAGGGCTACGAGCGATGGCCAACGGCTAACTCGGCGGGAGATCGGCAAGGAGGGTGGATGAGCTACGACTCCAGGGGTCAACGGCTTCGGGCGGAAGAACTCCTGGAAAGAGGGATGGTGTCCCTTTAAAAACACTGTAGAGGTGGTTCTGGGGGCCCATCTCTACTATTAGTCTCTTAGTTTTATCTGTGACCATGACAACAAACCAAACTCAGATTTTGGGATAGTTGGAGGGTCATGATAGCCAACCTTCTGATAGAAGATGGTACCTGATGATGATGATTTTTTAAGACACTGCGATGAAAGCCTTGAGCTAGATTGGAATCAAGTACTTTTAATAAGCAATTTCTTCACTGTATCTCGATTTATAAAGACCTCTAATTTCTTTGCAAGTTGTTTCTAATTGCTTCTGTCGCACTTCCTTGCTTATTGATATACCTCAAATCGACCTGTCACCTTAAAAGCCTTTTAAATCTCCAATGTAATGAAAGAAAAGTTTTTATTTGCTTTTTCATTCCAATTGCTATAAAAAGCCTGAAAAATTCAAACTGTTTTGCTGTGAGCATTGAATGGGAGACAGTTTGTAACTTAATCAACAGTATCTGAAGAATTTCTTCTAAAGAGGCAAGTCCATATCCTGTAATTCGTTGAAATCAATGACCTATATACTCACTTTTCCACTGAGATTAAATTTACTGAGTTGTCTTAATCAAAATGTTTGAAAAACTGCATTACTAGATAAATTTTTGTTAAAGGGAAAATTTCGTTCATCTAAAGAATTATTTTGATCGATTCCAATGCAAACGAACAACAAATTAAGCATTACTGGCTGTACTAGATGTTAATAGTTGAACAATGTCATGGTTTCTAAGGATAAACATAAATAGTCTGAAGAGATCGCTACAGTTCAATATAGTACTTACCTAAAATGAGTGCAAAAATATTTGGCAGTGTTCTAGATGCATAGAACATGAAGTGGAACTGTGTGACAGTGAAAAGTGTCACCAGATTAGAGACCGATGGTGACAAAACTTTGCAGACGGACTTTCTGTAGATTGTAAATGAAAGCATCGTGAATGACCCCAGGATTATTCTGGCTGAATAAAAAATAATTGACATAGTGAATACCAAATGAATGCTTCATTTTAGTTCAGATTTGCAGGGCAGATATGGTTAAAAAAAGAACAAGAAGGACAAACTATCCATAGAAAAACAAGAGGTGACAAAATATCTAGCTCACATGTAAATTTAGGAAGAAATTCTTAATTTGTTCTCTTGCCTTTTTCGAAGTTTCATTCTCACTAACCTTTAATTTGGTGAGCAGGGGAGGTCATGTTGCCATTCAATTATCATCTAGTAATGGAGTCAGTGGTTTGTGGGTTTGCAGTTATATGAATTTGTAGTTCTCTGACTGTTGACTTTTTATATATTTGCTAGATATAAAAGGGGTTTCAGGATTTGGTACTTCAGTTTTGTTAGTTTTAGACAACAAGCTGTAAACAAGATGTAATATCTTTATACAAGGTGTTATTCAATAAAATTATTGCATTATTAAAGAAGGCTGTGATGAAATGTACCAGATCCATGTTTATTAAATAAATTCTAAATTCTAAAAGTCTAAATTTTGTTTAATCATACCAAATATCTGATTCAATTCCTTGCTGTGGTTCGATATCTTCTGCATTGCAATCAATGGAGCAGTCACTAGGCTCACCACTAAAGGACCAGCAAAAGTTCTTGGTACAACGCCTGGGAATTCCAGGTGATCATACTAAAGAGAATAAAACAAAATAAAAAAAGGTTTGGATTGGAAACTCACAGCCAGTGCAAAATATAGTCAAATGAAAATCGCTGTGTATCAAAACATTAAATGTCATGCTTTAAGAAAAAAAACAATAATATACATAAACTTGATGATCTGCTTTTGGTGTCAAAAAGCTTCTATGTGTTGATGAATTGCAGTTTTAAGGTGTCCTACCCTTTAAGGTATGTAGCAATCATGTAGGCAAAGACGGTCATTTGCTATAAACAGCCAAAATTAAGATCGAATGGCCATTGTTCAAGAGCAGAAGAGAAGTTTTTACACTGCAATCCTTCGTTCGTGACAAAGCTTAATTGCAAAAATATCTACCTGTTCGCAGCTTGAAGCAACATAATTTTCCTTGCCCTTCTAGCTTACACTCAAGTGTCAGTAAGTATCAGCATAAATCAACATATCTTTTTGTGATAAATATCTTATTAGAATGGACCAGACCGTGGTTGAAGTCTCATGCAAGATCAATTGCCCTAGAAAAAATTATCTAAAGTGCAAGAATAAATACATATTATGTTGTCCTCATGTTGTTCACAAGACTTGCAGTACTACAGGCCCAACCACACAACTTTTGGTTCAAACAGCCTTAGGTCCCTTGGACAAAAAATTTGGAATGGCTTACCACAGGTAATAAAATCTGCAGAAAATCTGAATCACTGAGTCTGATCCAATGCAAAAGATTACTGAAAATTGGCCTTTTTGATCCACAACTGGAAGATATATTTCCTAGTGTAGAGTTTGTGATCTCTGTTCTGACTTTTTAAACTCTGGAGAGTGTCAGACAAAAAGCTTTAGTTTACTCAAATGTTTGCTTTTTTCAAAGCCATTTTCAAGTTTTGTACCACCAAAAAGATTGCTTGAATAAATACCTTCTAAGGTAAATTCTTTGAACATGCTGTAATGGGAGGTGGTTTTCTGTGTCATTTGAAAAAAGAACTTTGGATTCAAAGTTGCATAGTGCTTATAGCCTGCACCACCATGCTAAGTCATAGACACATTTATGACAAATGAAGGAATATTAAATTCTGTTTTCATACAATAAAAATACTAAGAACTGATAATAATTTCTTACCCATTTTTTCTTTGCTAGCTAATACAAATAGAGACATAACTAATATTCACAAATAGAGAGATCACTTGTATTCGCATCACTTTTACAAACAGAGACAAGGCCGTATTTTTTAACCAATTTTTTCATTTTCTTTTTCATATTCAGGTTGTTGTTATTTTTGCACTGACTGGTCAGCTGCTGGACTGCTAAGATGTTGCTAAAGGTTGGATCTAGGCTAAATCACGGGGAGTGTCTTTTATTGAAACTGGTGTACCAAACTTCAAAATCAACAGAGTTTTTCAGTGTATAAACGCTTTACCAACCCGGCAGTGCTGACCAGTTTATATTCTAATTTTATAGACTTTAAGACTAACCTGCTAACGGCTAGCACGCAATACTCATTATGGGGACTGTATTATAAACATTTAGATTAGATTAGATTAGATTATAGATTAGCTATTCCTATAATTGGCAAGACGGTCTTGGTTGATTGGCAAAATTAGCAAGACCAATAGGTAGTCAACTAAAAATAAAAGATGTACACAAACACACCACACAACAAAGCATACCTTGGTGATGTCAGATCTATAGTAAAGGAGATCATGCATGGCCTGGACATTAAAGCTCTCTTCAACCTTGGTGTAAGGACAGTTGATAATATGAAGCACCATTATAAAAAAGAAAGATATTCCTCTCCAAGATATGACAGCCATGTTTGCTTGTGTACTGCCTCTTCTTAACTCAAAAACCTCCTTTTCATTAACACTCAAAAGTGTTACCTTATATTCTGCTTACCACCTTACAAATTGTGGAATCGTGACACTTTTCAAAATGACTGAGTCCTTTGCAGTGCCGGGTGAAAGACTTGGCAGTTTAGAAGATTATGAGCCTGGTCAAGGAACGTACAAGCGAGGAGGCTTTATATATTCAAAGCTGGTTGGAAGAAAAAGAACCAGCACGTTACAAGATACATCTAACAAGAGAATTAAAATCTCGATTACACGATTGGAAGAATCTAGTCAATTTGTGCCAGAAATAGGTGAATTTTTTATTCTTTGTGAATAAGAAGTACCAAACATGTTGTGAGGCAACTTATTACTTTGAAAAGGCTGTAATGTTTTCTTGGAAAATATCTATTTTATGCCCTTTTCACCTGAAATAACTACATCATTTGAAAGAGATTTACGGCTTTAAGCAGGATTGAAAGAGACCCTCTGCTCTGCCAGGGTGGAATCCATGTAAACCTCACAGCAGATATTGGTGGGTAAATTATAAACTTGCACCGAAGGCTCTACATCTCAATGCTAACGCCAAAATATTTTATGGTTCAATGCAAAATAGAAACTATCAATCGTCATACCCTGGTCCAAAAACTGCAGCAAATCCCTCCGCCTTAACACCAACACATTATTTTTTCTTCAATTCACACAAGTATGTCAAGGAAATGATAAAGTCCATGGAGGGTATGTCATCTGCACGCACAAGATGCAGGAATGGATACACTGTGTTTGTACCTAAAAGCTAGTTCTAAAAAGCATATACTTGGAAAGGTGATAGTGCTGGTACACCTGGCATTTTCATATCATTTATCCTAGGCTGCCCAGCTGTTAGCAGATCCAAGATCTAGATCAAAATCCACCATACTCTGAAAACTGGCTGTTCAGGGTGATGATAATTAGCTGGGAAAATGTGGTCAAATAAACAACATTTCTCCTGTGGTGCCCAGTGAGGGAAGTGTTATTGCTTCTATAAGACAGGTTTTAAAGAGTAAAGGACTGCCAGAAACTAAGTTTTGATAACAGATCTGTGACAGGCTCTCGGCCTATAGTGCAGTAGTGAGTTATGGTTCTAGTCATAATATAGCTATAATTTTCCAGAAAGTTAATAATGGCTAACAACCCTCAGCACATATATAGTGTTTGCAGCAAATTTTTTTATGGAGTTTCTATTGCTAGTTATTTTGAATGTTACAAAGTAATACAAATGGTGATATGTAAATGTTTTCACTAAGGTCCATAATAAATGACCATGATTGTGGTTGATGAATCTGTAATTAGTTCTATGCCAACAATATGCAAATGATCTGGACCACATCCTATTGGTTGTAGCTTTAAACTGATGATCAAAACTTAATTTGGAGGAACACAATCTAAAAAACAATTTGCTTATACTTACCTTAAGTCTATCAGCCCCAGTCCTCCTTATACACAAACGCATGCTTCGCAGTCGCAAGCAAACCATGCTGATCAGAATACGTCTGCAGGCACATCTGTAAAAGTAGTCTTTTAAAAGTCTCAAATTGTTTAAGAATTTAAAGAAAAATTCAGCTACAAGTTTCACCATGTGAATATTACTAGATGTTTTTCTTCCTTTGAATAAAATGATTAAGATACTAGGAAAAAAGAAAGATCTAGGCCATCAAACCAGGGATTTGAAGCCCAGAGGCACGTATCGTGGTATTAGTAAAACCAATCAAACCTTGAGGATAATGAAATGTGACTGGGTGAAGATAGGTTGAAATGAATCCGAGTTATCACACAATTTGTATAGTGGGTACAAGAAGGAAACTTTGAAGATCATAAAGCCTTTAGTTAATTTAAAATCATGTTGACGTCTACAAAAGCAAGCCTTACTGCTTTGTGAAAGTGATTTATGTAGCAAAGAGAGAATAATAGATTTTTTTTACAGCAAGAACAAGATGTTCAAATATGAAAATGGCTTTGAAAAAAGCAAACATTTTACGACATACTAAAAGCTTTTTCGTCTGACACTCCTCAGAGCATAAAACGTCAGAATAGGTTCCGAAAAAACACGATGGAAAAATATATACCCAGTTGTGGATCGAAATAGGCCAATCAGAAAAACGCAAGCACAAGACCGGCATATTTGACCAATCAGTGCCGCGAGCCTAAAGAAAATTTACCAATGGAGTCCAAGAGAGAACACGAACTCCTTTTGTCTACACAATGGCGGCTTTTTCGTTTTTATGTAGATTGACTCCAAAACTGCTAGATGGAAGGACGACCGGGCTCTGCCAATTATCCGAAACATGTCGTCATTATAGAGTTTAGCACACTCTGGGTTGTCCAAAAGATGTTGACCAATGGCAGAATCACTTGTTTTAACAGTGTTTCTAGACCTACAAGATCGAGGAGGCTGTTCTCTTTGAGGGGCAGTTTTGTTTCGTATGTTGGAAGGAACATGCTGTTTTATCCTATCCCCCAATCTTTGGGTTGTGCGTCCTACGTAGCCAGAATCACACTGGCTCGTAAATTCATAAATGACGGAACTTTTTTGTTTGGTAGGAACGCAATCCTTTTGAATGGATGGAAGGGCTCTCCTAGTGCTGTAAACAATCCGAGGATTGACAGCAAAGAAACAATTGGTTATGGCTTGCCTAATCTGACTCTCGAATCGCAAGGAAGTGTTACCAATCCATGGTAGTTTCAAATAAACTGGGCACTTTTGCGGACCAAACTTTTGAACAGCCGAAAAACTTGCGATCTTCTCCTTAGTATAAGATAAAATGACGTCTTCAGGATAGCCGTTGTCCAAGAAGATCGTTTTGAGTTTTTTCCAGTTCAGCGTGCAGTTTAGATTTCGAGCAGATCATAAGTGCCCTATGTATTAATGTTTTGACAAGGTTGACTTTGCGTTGTTTTGGGCAAAATGAATTCCAGCGTATGTACTGACCGGTAAAAGTAGGCTTGCGATATACACTGGTAAGAAATCCAGTGTTAGACTTTTCGACCAAAACATCTAAAAATGGCAAGGAATCATTTTCTTCCTTTTCAAACGTAAACTGGAGGGCTGGGTGTAGGCTATTTAGG